GCATGTGCCCTGGAGATCACGGGAATTTTAATAAAATGTTTTGTTATAATTATTTTCAGTTTTAAAAAACTTTCATTACTTATGATTTAGCTTACTTCAAAAATATACAGAAAAAAAATTTCAATGTGTCAAAAGTAACGTTTGCTGTCATTGCGAAACAAAAGGTCAGGAGGGTCGAGTAGTCGCCGGCGCATTGAGGTAAATAATAATAAAAATATCCTAGTAGATCTATTAACTTCATTGTTTTTCAATTTGAAATTTATAGTAGGAACATAAAACTTCTCATATGTAGTATTTGCATAAATTATAATTATTTATAAGGTAATTTTTATTGCGTCGAAATTCAGTTGTGCCTTGTAGGGCACCTTATTAGGTTACCTGAAATTGTATGTTGTGCCTTACAGTGCACACGTTCACTTAACAGAAAAGTGTTTATGTGCCTTACAGGGCACTTACCCAGTTAATAGTACTTCTCTTGTGTCTTTTGTAGGTTACTTTAATAATACTTTTTCACCGATATTGCCCATGCTTTTACATTCCTCCAGCTTTTTTTTTTGTTTTGAGATGGTCATAAAGCTGGAAATAGTGTTATACTGACGTCAGTCACACACACACACATATATATATATATTAGCAATAGTTTAGACGTACATATATGCTATAGTTTTTTGTGCACAATTCTTTGTAAAACTGATCAGCGACCGAAGTCAGAACAACATTATTTCCAATCGAACGCTGTCGATTGCTGACAGTACGAGACCGACGTCAGCGTAATACTATTTCCAAACTAAGTACTTTTTTTTATATTTTCAGCGCATAATGTCTTTCGTTCTACCTGATAAAGCTAGCGAAGAAACTTCTGATTCAGATGATGCTCAGAAATTCGTCACTACAAACATATATAACAGTAAAACTGTTAGTGAAACTGAAAGTGAAGATGAGATTTCAGTATCCCCAAAAGCTATGATAGTTCCTTCTTTGAGTCTAAACTATGTTAGATCCAGTCAAGCTACGGTTCAGCAAACCTCTGCTGTCCAATGTTTGAATTCTGTTGAATATCCATATAGTTATGATCCTTATTTGCCGCAAATACCCAGTGTTTCGGAACAATCCCTTGTCAATGTTACCGATTCCAATCAGAATTTACCATCAGTGTCATCCTGTTATGAGACCCCGTCTATAATGGATCAAAATATGCTATCTGAAATCGGTATCATTGAGTCACCTTACACGCAAAACAAAGAAAAAACTGATGAGATATTATCAAGCCCTTGTCCTAACTTTCTGGATGATTTCTATTTGAACAGTGACTGTGAGCTAGAAGATGTAGCGAAATCGACTCGTAAGCAAAAACTAGTAGCTAAGACGTTTACTTCAAATAAAAGAATTAAAAAATCTGCTGAACTTGCGGAAATTACACCTAAACGAAGGTCTCTTCGTCAGAAATCTTTGATTTCTCAAACGCAAACTCAAAATAGTCCGAAATTATATATACAAGCTTCATCTAAAGATTCCTGCTACCATCATTCACAAACCAAACCCACAACAACTAATACAAATAGTAAAAAATAGTAAAAGTAGCAATAAAGCAAAAACAGACCAAAATTTATATAAATCAAAAACTAAAACGATTTTACGGATCCATAACAAAAAAGAATATACTAATAGGACTAAATCAACCTCATTAACAGATAAACTTACAACTAATAAAACAAGTAAAGCTATTGGTCTTTGTGAATGGGTAGGAAAAGAATTTGCTTATGGAGTACAAAACTTAAAGGAAAACCAGTTTACAACTCCTAATGAAGTTGGCAGCCCTTTAGAATATTTTTATAAATTTATTGACGAAGATTTAATACAGTACATAAGAGATCAAACAATTTTGTATGCGTACCAAAAAGATTCCAAAGAATTAACGTTGAGTACACAAGATATCAAGGATTTTTTAGTACATACATACATACATATAATCACGCCTCTTTCCCGTAGGGGTAGGCAGAGACCAGTTCTTTCCACTTGCTACGATCCTTACATACTTGTTTTGCTTCGTCCACTTTCATTATTCCCTTCATACATGCTCTACGGTTTAGGGTACTCTTGACCTGGCCTTTTTTCAAGACGTCCCTGATTTGGTCTAGAAATTTCCGCCTAGGTCTACCCCTTCCAACACTTTCATTCACACTCGCCTTATACACTTTTTTCGTCAATCGTTCTTCATTCATTCTCTCGACATGGCCAAACCATCTCAGCATACCTTTCTCAATTTTTGTCACTACATCTTCTTTCAGACCACAACGTTTCCTTACCTCACTATTTCTTAGCCTGTCACTCAGTTTAACTCCTATCATACTTCTTAATGCTCTCATCTCAACTGCATTTATTCTGCTTTCATGTTTCTTCTGCCATACCCAAGTTTCACTTCCGTACATGAGTGTCGGAACCAACACCCCCTCATGCACAGCCAAACGAGCCTTGTTAGACACCTTCCGACTGCTCATAAAGGAGTGCAAAGCTCCATTCACCATGTTTCCTGCATTCACTCTTCTTTCGATATCACTCTCACACTTTCCATCTCTTGTAAACTTTGAACCCAGATACACAAACTCTTTCACCTGTTCAATTTGGTCATCTTCAATCACGATATTGCAGTCTGTCACTGCCTCATCTTTTTCAAACACCATCACTTTCGTCTTCCTTACATTCATCTTCATTCCCTTTCTAACAAAAGCTCCACTCATAGCAGTTACCATCTCCTGCAACTCCTCGGCCGAAGACGCAAGTAATACTTGGTCATCAGCATAGAGAAAACATTTGACGAGTAACTCATTCATTGTCAACCCACTTTCATTCTCTTTTAAATCTGTCAAACAATTGTCCATGAACAGATTAAACAGCCAACGTGACGCTACACATCCCTGTCTAACACCTTTTTCGATATTAAACCATTCAGTGTATGCCCCGTTTATCCTTACACAAGCACTAGAATCCCTATAAAGAGATTGCATTGCTCGTATGAGGATACTGCTCACACCGTTCACGGACAGTGCTGACCACAATTCATTCCTCACCACTCTATCATAGGCCTTTTCTAGATCTACGAACGCGCAGTAGACTTTCTTGTTTTTAGCCAAATACTTTTCGGCTATGCACCGCAAGGAAAAGACCTGATCCGTACATCCCATTCCCTTTCTAAATCCCGCTTGTGCATCCCATACTTTCTTGTCTGTTTCATTCACAATCCTTTCAATCAACACTTTCGCATACAATTTACCGACGACGCTGAGAAGGCTTATACCGCGGTAATTTATGCAGTCCTGCCGTGACCCTTTTCCCTTATACAATGTCACGATTACGGCTTTGCACCAGTCTCCCGGTACTTGCCCATTTCGCCAGCACAGATTGAAAAGGCGGTACAGCTGACTAGCCACCAGGCCCTGTCCAGCCCTCAGCATCTCGACGGTAATCCTGTCATACCCTGCAGCCTTACCTAATCTCATACTTTTCAACGCTTTCACTATTTCATCCATGCTTATCTCATTTTCATCAACACTTATATTAGTTTCCGTGGAAGGTGGCAGATGCTGTACCTGCACTTCCTCTCTTTCAAACAAACTTTCAAAATACTCTTTCCATCTCTTTAACACACATTCTTCTCCTTTTATAATGCTCCCATCTTGACTCCTGATTGTACTCAGCTCAGAGGTAGAAGTTTTTCCTCTGGCTGTTTTGATGGTTTTCCAGAAAAACTTAATGTTTGACTGGAAATCTTCAGTGAGCCTCCTATCGAAATCATCCTTTCGTTCTTCTTTCTTTCTAGACACAATTTCTTTCGCTGCTGTTTTCAATCTTTTATACTTCGTTCTTGCTTCCTTTATCTCGTCATCCGTTGCCTTTTGAACTTTTTGGTTAGCTTTTGTTGCTAACCAATCCAACCACGCTTTCTTCTTTTCTTGCACAACCTTTTGTACATCTTTATCCATCCACACGTTATCATTCTTTCTTCCTTTCCTTCTTTTAGCTACCCCGCATACCTCAATAGCAACATTTACGACCCCTTTCTTAAATGTCTCCCACAAATCTTCAATCACTCCTATCTCTTCTATCCCTTTAAAACTTTCTTTCAGTTTCTCTACATACTCGTCTTTCTTTTCTTCTTCTTGTAGATTTTCCACTTTTACTCTGTCCAAAACACTCGTAGGCTCGGCCGCTCGGTGTCGCCACCGTTTAAAGAGGCCACGCATTCGGGCTATGACCAGGAAGTGGTCTGTGTCGAGGCCTACACCGCGGTATGCCCGAGTGTCTAGCACTTTCTTCCTCAGTCTTTCATCCACAATTACAAAATCAATCATACTTCTAGACTCACCCTCATCTCTTGTATACAAATGGATCTTTTTGTGGTCAAACATTGTGTTGGCCACGCACAGATTCCATTCCAAGCATACTTCAAGCAGGCTTCTCCCATTGTCATTCACTCTCTCGTCCCCAAACGTACCCAGAACTCCTTCATACCCATCACGATTTACTCCAACCCATCCATTAAAGTCCCCTAACATCACGATCCGTTCATTTTCTCCGCATTTATTCAAGACCTCTCTCATGCTATCCCAAAATTCCTCTCTCTCTTGTTGTGTTTTTAAGGACCCACCTCCACGCAGATCTGTTGGTGCATAGACCCCAAGGATAAACAAGCGAGTGAGTCCGACTTTTAACCTAATCCAGAGGAGTCTTGGGCTTATACATTCATGCTCCATCACACATTCAACCATTCGAGATGAAAGAATCACACCAACTCCCTGACAGCCTCGGCTGGTTTGGGGGACTCCCGACCAGTATGCCGTGTAGGGGCCATGAACCGTGGTGTCACATCCTTTCCTCTTGGTTTCGTTCACGCACAGAATATCAATGCAACGTTCATCCATCATCTGACATACTTCATCTACCTTACCATCCATTCCTCCTCTTACATTCAACGTAGCGATTTTTTTAGTGTTGAGATATTTATGGGTATTATCCAGTTACCCGCGTATGTTGATTATTGGTCTAAGGATTTTAAAGTAGATTGTGTTATAAATGTGATGTCCCTCAAAAAATATCAGTTAATAAGACGTTATCTCCATTTCAATGACAGTGAAGTTGAAAATGAGAGCAATGACCGTTATTACAAAATTCGCCTTCTGTTTGATAAAGTTATATCCAACTGCAGAAAGATTGAAGAAGAAAGTAGAATGTCCATTGATGAGATGATGGTACCGTATAAAGGGAAGAAGTCAGGTGAATTAAAACAATACATAAAAACTAAGCCTAAAAAGTGGGGGTACAAAATGTTTGTTAGAGCAGGAGTCTCTGGTATAGTGTATGACGCAATTCTATATGGTGGACAGTATACTTTTTCGGGAAGGGATTTTAGTAATTATGAAAATACCTTGGGATTGGGTGCCAAAGTTGTCCTTTCTTTATGTCGCACGATAAGAGATCCCGTACTAACTGTGGTATACTTTGATAACTATTTTTCAAGCGTCGAGTTAATGCACCATCTACGAAACGAACTGGGTATCTTGTCGATTGGCACATTTCAACAAAATAGAACGAGAGGATGTATTCTGAAGGATGACAAAGAAATGAAGAAGATGCCTCGAGGATCGGTGGATATGAAAGTTTGTGAGGAAAAAAAAATAGTTTTAGTGAAATGATTTGATAATAAAGGAGTTTTGCTAGGTAGTAACTACACCGGCGTTGAACCAATGGGTGTATGCAAACGATATTTCAAGGATAAAAAAGAATATCGAGAGATTCCTTGCCCAAACATCGTAAAAGAATACAACAAGCATATGGGCGGTGTAGACTTAGCCGATATGTTAGTGGCTATTTACCGGACCATCTACAAAACAAATAAATGGTATATGCCTATTTTTTCTCAGCTGTTGGACGTGGCTATAAATAATGCATGGCTTTTGTACAGAAGGGAATGTGGCCTCAAGACTGGCGTCGACGATCATATTGCTTTGAAAGCATTCCGTTTTAAAGTGGCACAAGAAATGAGTTCATATATTCCAAAAGCACTGGCTGAAAATGTCGAGCCTCCGAATCGAGTAAACCAACGCCGCATAATTAGCAGGCCTATCGCAACTCGACCAGAAGCAGAAAGTCGATATGACGGTAAAGAGCACTTTCCTAAAATCACAACAAAAGGCCGTTGTAGACTTTGTGTGAAAGGAAAAACTACTTTCTTGTGCATAAAATATAACATGCGTCTATGTATTCAACAAAATCGCAATTGTTTTTATACTTTTCATCAAAAAGAACAAGAAACATAGCAATAAAATATTTTTATTACTCTTTAGCCCTTCAGTTAAATTAGAAAATATACTTAGCTGATAATTTACTTAGCTTATAAAAAATTTAGAACCTTTACTTGATTATTGATCTCAAAAGTGTGTACTTTCATATGTAAGCATTTTTGTAAGCAGAATATTTATTTTTTGTTGTATTTTTATATCCTTTATGGCGTTTGATCTCAGATTAAAATAATGATATAAGTAAGGAGGATTTAATAATTTTGTGAAGTATATTTTTATAAGATTTATGATGTTTTATCTTACAGCAATAAAAAATCTCAGCACTGTTAATTCCACAGGTTTAGTAGTATATTTTTACGAAAATTTAAAAATATAAATCAAAAAATTTATTGCTAATTAGTCGGCAATGTGCTCTACAGGGGACAGGAAAATGCCGATTTAATTTTCTGGAGACATAGCGAAGTGCCCTCTAGAGCACATATGATTTTCCAATAAATAAACAAAAAATATTTTTTCTATTATTTTTTAAGATGCTTTTGTTACTAATATATTACAAATAAATAGTTTTTTCAGTCAAAATCGTCTTTTTGTGTTTGCCAATCTAAGGGTTAAAAGTGCGACATTGAAAACTTACACTATCTTTTCCTATCACTTTCCCCTATTATTTTCTATCTTGATTTAATATGGAAAACTGGTAGCTACCGACCAGCTGGTCTTGAACTGTCCTGAACGAATTTCCAAATGACCAGCCTCTTATCCCAGTACGTTAGCTAAACGTGAAAGAGAACCACGCACCGCGCGCCATTTTGAAATAATCTGACACTAATTTTCATCATCGCATCCTCGTATTTGACCCCATATCTTTATTTCTCAAAAACATATTGTTACACTATTTCAAATCTAAAAACACAAACCAAAGCCTTATTATTACGATATATATTACATCCCTAACAATAAAGTCATATTAAGATATTCAACAAAATACACCAATTTTACAGCACATTTATAAAGTTGTAAATCTTAAATATCTATCACACAAGTTATTAAATTTATTAGTAACTAAAGGCACAATATACTACTTCTCCCATTTGATGACAAATGGCGCTGTTTTGAAAAATAAAACGAAGATCTTCAGCTCAGAATACAGAGAAAATGTATTCTGTGATCGTCGGCGTAGTTTCAATTTATTACACAATGCCTAAATATTAAACTTTATTTATAAATTATTTAATTTATTACTAACTGAAGGGAAAATATGCTACTCATTCCATTTGGTGATAGATGGCGCTGTGTTAAAAACTAAAACGAAGATCTTCAGCTCAGAATACAGAGAAAATGTATTCTGAGATCGTCGGCGTAGTTTCAATTTATTACACAATGCCTAAATATTAAACTTTATTTATAAATTATTTAATTTATTACTAACTGAAGGCAAAATATGCTACTCATTCCATTTGATGATAGATGACGTGAAACAATTTTAAACTCTATTTAAAAATATGGTATTTATTTGAAAAAACACCCGTCATCCCGATTATAACTAACAGAATCATGTATAATAGAATATCTGCATACAAAATTTCATAGAAATCGGTCTAGCAGTTTTTGCGTGAATTGTGAATACACAGACAGACAAAAATTCTGAAAACCATTAACTTGGCTTCACTATACTAGAATTACAGACGCGACTTCTCTACAGATTTTTTAAATGTATAGACTAGCTTTTTACCCGCGGCTTCAATCGCGTGGGCTTCGTTTAACTTTTTACTGGGTAATTCGATGATTCTTCTTTATTTGAAAGCTGGTGCTTCACATGTGGTCCCATATAAATTTTATCAAAGTCTAACCAATAGTTTTTAAGATATTCATAATAATTTATATTGAAGTTAGTTGTACAAAATTTTTAATTTTAAATTATATTTACGCCGGTTTTGTTCACATCTTTGGATGAAAGTTCCATAAAAACCCGCGTATAAGAATATATCGCCGATGTGAAGCACTGACACCACTTCTTACCAAGGATGATTTGCGTGGCTATTGAAATTAAAAGCATCTTAATTTCAATAGAGAAGATGGCTGGGTACTACCATCTACTTGAGATTCCACAATTAAAAACTAAATCCAAATTCAAGCACACAGTAGTATGCTTGGATTTGTATATGCAGTAGCAAGACTTCAAGATAAAGCTCGTTCTGCGTAGGTCGGACCAAACATTATTAATTAAAATTCTTCGTTCTACTATGACATTAGGACATCAAACACCTCAGTCTCCCCGTGGCCATGGGTTTTGTAAAGTGCTCGAAACGTCAGGAATTAAAAAAATTAAAATTAAACGCGACCTAATTCTTATGATCACTTTTATTGCAAATGAAGTTCTATTTACAGTGAACGTGGGAAGAACTGCGCTCATGATCGGAAGTAGAAAAATGTTCGCCTTATTGTGGCAGCAAAAAAGAATATCCGCCATCTCATATCGTCCCGTTTGTCTCGCAATAAGCGACAATGAAAAACAAACAAGAGATGGGCAACATCATCTTCCTGACAACAGTTCAAAATAATAAAGGTTTCGGTTGCCAAACCGCCTGCCAAGCGGCGCTATTATAGCAAATATCAAGCTTATGTGACAATTTATGGGGGAGGCCTACATTCAATACATTTTTGATAAGCTGTAATGATAACGATAACGAGTTCTACTCTTTCGAATTTTTGAAAACATTAATATTTACGGTAGATCATACAAGGCATGTTGGGCAAAGAATTGGAAGTTGAATTGTTTTTAAATAGTAACAATATACACATCCTTTGTATTACTGAACATTGGCTAAAAGATTATAATTTCGTGTTTAATTTCAGAAATCACCAGGTGGTCAGATCCTTCAATAGAGAAAAAAGTTTACGTGGTGGCTCCTTAATATTAGCAGATAAATCATTATTATATAAAGAACGTAAGGATATTGTGAGCCTCTCTGTTGAACGAACTGTAGAAATGGCTTGTGTCGAGCTCGAGCACCTCATTGTTGTAAGTGTTTACAGACCCCCATGTGCTACTTATGACCATTTTGAAAGGATTGTGGAAGAAGTTTTACTCAAACTTAGTAAAGAGAACAAGTCTGTTGTAATTTGTGGAGACTTTAATATCAATCTCCTTGAAACTTCTTCCATTAGTATTAAATTACGCTCATTGTTTAAATCGTATAATCTTGTAAATTTATTCTTAGAACCAACACGTATTGCTGGGCCTAGTGCGACCTGTATAGATAACATTTTTACAGATGTTAAGCCCTTGCATAAATCAATTATTCAAAATTTAAGTTCAGATCACTGTGGACAGTTAGTATCACTACCTTACATACATAAAAAACAGAAAAATAAGGAAGTTGTGTTTGTTCCAATAAATGAACATCGCTTGGAGAGGTTTAGAAGTAATATAATAAAAAGACTTCCATCACTTTCGTTTAAAAATAGTGCTAATTATTTGTATGCTACATTATTTGAAATTATAAGTTGTGAATTTAGTAGAATATTTACTTCTAAACCTTTCTCTTTTAACAGTCGCAAATCATTTAATTAATGGGCGACAGTAGGAATTTATAAAAGTAGGCGAAGGTTATACGAGCTTTATGATGAAAGGTCATATAATAGTAGTGTTATATTTAGAGATATGTAAAAACATATTCTAAAATATTTAAAAAAGTGTGCTCCACTGCTAAGGTTTTACATTTAAGCAACGAAATTAAAACTGCATCCGAGAAAATTTAAATGACCTGGAGAATAATAAATAGTGAAACGGGCAAGGTCAAACCGCGCAACTCGGATTTTCAATTGAATATTAACAATAATTAAACGCGATCTGATCAAGAAGTTGCTATGGCTTTTGAGAAACATTTTACTGATGTTCCTTTTTTGACAACAAAATCATTAAATTCTTCTCCTACTGTCGCCGAATCATTGCTCAAACAAAATGTAAAGGCTTGTTCAAATACTTTTAAATTCCATAGAGTACTCTCAAAAGATATCGTTAAATTTTTTAAAAATTATTGATGTTAAGAAAACGGCAGACTTATGGGGGATTTCCGTTAAAGTTATTTTATCTATAATAGATATATTAGCACCTTATCTAGCCACTATATTTAGTATAAGCATCAAATCTGGTGTGTTTCCCGATTTAATGAAACATAGTAAAGTCATACCTATATTTTAATCTGGTAGCACATTAGACCCCGCCTATTTTAGACTAATTTCTCTACTACCAACATTAAGTAAAATTTTTGAAAAAACTATTTTAGATCAGATGTTAAGTTTCTTTAATATTAATAAATTGCTACATAAAAATAAATTCGGTTTTGCAAGGGGTCGCTCGACAACTGACGCTGGAGTTGAGCTTATTAAACATA